CTACGTCCCGAATCCCTACGTCCCCGAATTCTTATGCACTGAAGTTTCTACGTCCCAAATTTCTACGCCCCGAATCCCTACGTCCCCAAATTCTTATGCACTGAAATTCCTACGTCCCCAAATTCTTATGCACTGAAATTCCTACGTCCCAAATCTCTACGCCCCAAACCTCTACGCGTCGAATCCCTATGCCCCAAATTCTTATGCCCTGAAATTCCTACGTTCCAAATCTCTACGCCTCGAATTCCTACGTCCCCAAATTCTCATGCACTGAAATTCCTACGCCCCAAATCTCAACGCCTCGAATCCCTATGTCTCCAAATTCTCATGCACTGAAATTCCTACGCCCCAAATCTCTACGCCTCGAATCTCTATGTCCCGAATTCTTACATCCCCAATCCCCTACGTCCCAAATCCCTATATACCGAATTCCTACACCCTAATTTCAATACACCGAAACCTCACACCCCTCAAATCCCTGTAATCCCTATACCTCTCACGTCCCTATATCCCTGAAATCCCCAAATCCCTAGTTAAACCACAAACGATGACCCGAACCGTAAATGTATTGTTGGTAGTAATCTATAGCACAGGATCGAGGTGCTCGCGGCTTCTCGCCTTCGTAATTTAGGAGGAAACGATTTACTGTTTCCGGTAATGGTCACCAGCAAACCGTGTCCGTGTAAGAGTCACGCTTGAGGACGAAGAGGTGGCCGATTAACAAAAACCGCGTTTGTTTGAGTGTAGCCAAGCAACGACGGCTAATTTGGACGGTACCGTTACGACCCGCATATAGCCGAGCCGTGCGGATAAAACGGGAAGGTTTAACGATATATTGTTGCTGGTTAAGCACACCGGTAATTCTTCTGTCTACGCTTCGTGATGATAGTTGGGTTATTAAAAATATTAATTATAACAACGCGACGAACGGCGAAGGAAGGGAGTGCGGTCGTTAACACCTGCACGCTTCGTGCGCTGTTTGAAATGGCGCGAACGTTTGAACATCCACGTTTCAACATTCAGAGCATTCTTATTTTTATTTATTCAAACTTGGTGTGGTTCAAATTTTTAATGATTGCTGTATTCTAAGCTTGACTCTTTCGTCGATAAAGGGTTGAAATTTTGAAAATTGTAATGATTGTTTTATTCTAAGCTTGACTCTTTCTTCGCTAAATGCCTCAAGGGTTGAAATTGTGAAGATTCTGATTACTTTATTCTAAGCTTGACTCTTTCATCCCTAAATGCCTCAAGGGTTAAAATTTTGAAGATTCTAACGATTACTTTATTCTAAGCTTGACTCTTTCTTCGCTAAATGCCTCAAGGGTTGAAATTTTGAAGATTCTAACGATTACTTTATTCTAAGCTCGACTCTTTCATCCCTAAATGCCTTAAGGGTTGAAATTTTGAAGTTTCTAACGATTACTTTATTCTAAGCTTGACTCTTTCATCTCTAAATGCCTTAAGGGTTGAAATTTTGAAGATTCTAATGATTACTTTATTCTAAGCTTGACTCTTTCATCCCTAAATGCCTCAAGGGTTGAAATTTTGAAGATTCTGATTACTTCATTCTAAGCTTGACTCTTTCATCCCTAAATGCCTCATAGGTTAAAATTTTGAAGTTTCTAACGATTACTTTATTCTAAGCTTGACTCTTTCACCGCTGAATGACTTCAGGATTGAAATTTTGAAGGTTTCAATGATTTTACTCTCGAAACAATTCAAGTATACGATTTTTTAAATCGTGAAGCTCCTAGAAGTTAGAAAGTTTTGAGGAGGAAATAGGGGAGCACACGGAACCCGCGTAGTGCCGTCCCTGCAAAGGAGAATAGAACTAATTTTTGTAACACGTTTCGTCGTCGAGAGTACGGCTAGTCCGGTGGTTCGCACGTATTTACGGGTTTATGCCATTGTTTCGAGCGGCACCGTCAGTATCTTTCCACGAATAGACGATTTTACGGTAGGAGGGCTCGGAGCGCGAACGACACGGAAGGTAGGAGAACATCCTGTGTCGTAGGACCCCCCTTCACGCTCTGCTGGCTTTACTTCGTAACGCTGATTTCCTAAGTATTCTTTCCTTTCCACGGTGTACCGACTCTACTCGAGGAACGTGAAGAAGGGAGACAAGCCATCAGTACCGCCCTTAGAGTCGCCCGATCGCCCTCGATCTTCAATTTTGGTTCATAAATGGGGACGTTTGATAACTTTTTTATGTTCGAATTTGGGGGTTGGGGTTTGGGAATTTGGGAATTTAGAGATGGGGGGTTGGGAAGTTGGGAATTTAGGGATGGGGATATGGGAAGTTGGGAATTTAGGAAATTGGGATTTAGGGATTTGGGAATTTAGGAAATGGGGGTTTAGGAGTTTGGAAATTGAGGGGTCGGGGTTTGGGAAATTGGAAATTTAGAAAGATGGGATTTAGGGATTTGGGAATTTAGGAAATGGGGGTTTGGGAATTTGGGAATTTAGGAAATGGGGGTTTGGGAATTTGGGAATTTAGGGATCGGGGTTTTGGGAATTTGGGAATTTAGGGATGGGGGTTTGGGAAGTTGGAAATTTAGGAATCGGGGTTTTGGGAATTTGGGAATTTAAGGATGGGGGTTTGGGAAGTTGGGAATTTAGAAAGTTGAGATTTAGGGATTTGGGAATTTAGGAAATGGGGGTTTAGGAATTTGGGAATTTAGGAAATGGCGGTTTAGGAGTTTGGAAATTTGGGGATCGGGGTTTTGGAAATTTGGAAATTTGGGGATGGGGGTTTGGGAAGTTGGGAATTTAGGAATCGGGGTTTTGGGAATTTGGGAATTTAAGGATGGGGGTTTGGGAAGTTGGGAATTTAGAAAGTTGGGATTTAGGGATTTGGGAATTTAGGAAATAGGGGTTTAGGAATTTGGGAATTTAGGAAATGGGGGTTTAGGAGTTTGGGAATTTAGGGATCGGGGTTTTGGAAATTTGAAAATTTGTGGATGGGGGTTTGGGAAGTTGGAAATTTAGGGATCGGGGTTTTGGGAATTTGGGAATTTAGGGATGGGGGTTTGGGAAGTTGGGAATTTAGAAAGTTGAGATTTAGGGATTTGGGAATTTAGGAAATGGGGGTTTAGGAGTTTGGAAATTTAAGGACCGGGCCTCAGGAATTCGGGAAATTATGAGGGTCGCAAACTTACAAATTTAGAAATGCAAAGGTTTAAAAATTTAGGGATTTGGAGATTCACAAAATTAGAAATATAGACATTTAAAGATTTAGGGATTTAAAGGCGTAGAGATTTATAGATTTATTCAATTTTACACCCTGATCACATCCATCCATAACAAGGGACAATTAATCAGATACTACAGTGTTTGGTATCTGATTAGCATTATTAAAAATAGTATCGATTATTAAAAATAGACGTTATTAAAAATATTATTAAAAATAGTATCGATTTTGCGCAGGGCCCCAACGACTCTAAGAGCAGGTCTGCATTGTCTCTTACCTGAGAATGGAGATGCTCTTAATTAAAGCGCTTCAGTCACCGGATTCCGACGAGAGAACGCGATTTCTCACGTTTCAGTTCACCCTTTTTCATCGATTGTTAATCCAGAAAGGATAATAGGATGTTGCGAAATAAGTGCCGACCATTTGTCTCGAAACGAAAGAAGGGATACTTTTTGTTCGGATTTGTAACACTTTTTATACGAATAAAGCAAATACGTACGTTGTATCTATTTTTGAACGTAACAGAGTAGAAAATACATTGACCCTGCTGTGAATTTGGAATTGAGAGTATGCAGAAGTTTCCACTGCTTTGGAGGCAGTTTTCTTTATTAATATTTTGTAATTACTTTTATAATAAAAGTAGACAGCGTTATTTTTTAGAAAATTAGCACAAGTTTATTATGAGTGGTTTAATTGATACAATAATTAATTTCCTATTGTTAATGTCTGAAATAAATATCTAAGACTTAAATGAAAGATAATTTTAGAAAGTGTATCAGCATTCTAGTCATTCAATTTGTGCATCAAACTTGTACAAATTAATGTTCTTTTATCATTTACGTAAAATAATGTAGTTAATTTTAAATTTGAAAACATTTCGATAGTTTTATTCGAGCATATTTTTTAAAATTCATATTTGCGCGCGAGTTCGCGGAAAATCATAACACTAGCGACATCTAGCGGTGAAAAGTGCAAACACCGAAATAAAAAATAGGCTTTTCCTAGAAAATGAGGCATTTTGACGTCTTTTCGACGGTCGCAAATTGATCTACGATCCCGAATAAGTAATAAAAATGGGTTTGCAGTGAGTTCAAAGCTCTATATTCGAAAATAAAAAAAATAACGTTTTATGGACCTAAAAAAGCCTAGCCATCTAGCGGTGGAAGGTAGGAACTAATCGAACTAAAATTTGGAGGACTATTTATTTATTTATTAAATTTTTACAACATTTTAAGGCATGTAAACGAACTTGAAGCTATTCAGTAATAATATTTGAAATAATTATGCAGAAATATTTAAAATAAAATCTGTATTACTTGAGCTTTTACGAAAATGGAACATGTGGCGCCATCTAGCGGATTTATGCGGGAACTAACGAAAGTGGTGTTTCAAAAGTGTGTAGTTCACCCTGTTCGCCGGAGAGATGGCGCCACTTGTTCAATTTTTTTAAAAACCCAATTAACACTGATTTTATTGATTAATATTTATTATATACTTCAAATATTAACACTGAACAGCTCTAAATTCTATTACAAGTCTGAAAATATCATAAAAATGTGTAAATAAATTAATTGTGTTCCAAGTTTTAGTACCCAGCTTTCACCGCTAGATGCTTAGACTTTTTTAAGTCCATTCTAACGTCTTCAGCGAATTGTAGTTCTTTCAAGATCGCGAAATGTTCTATTCGTTTCAGAAAAGAATAAAAGAAAAACACAAATTTTCTTTCTGTGTAGTTCCACCTCTAAACATTGAATTCATTAAATATTTATTTTCGAAATACTAGTAGAAGGGTTTTGAAAGAAATAAAACATTTGTCTACGGTTCACTTTATTTCAAATTGTATTTGTTTTATGTATAACTAAGATACATGGGCGTAAATCACAGCACAACGCATTGTTGTATATTCATTTATGCATCCATTTGGGTATCGTGTATGTACATTGAATAGTTTTGAACGAAACCTATGCATCTCGAGACTCGAACTCAATCAACAGAGTTCATAAAAACATTAAAAAGCTACGATGTGCGCAAGTATATCGAAAATCGCGTCAGTTACAATACACCATATTTTACATTAAACTCGGCGAGTGTCACAATTAGGAAGAAGTACAGTCTCGAGTCTCGTTCGCTCGATCAATTTGTTACATAGCATATCGAAATAAATCGTAACAACGTATATACATAGATATTAAAAAACGCGAACAAGTTTAATAAGATTATCTTCTCTATCGTCGACCGAGGGAGGTAGGCGTTTCTTCATAAAGCTTCGAGGAAACGACGCAACAAGAACATTCACAAAATAATCATACACGTATTATTTATATGTATACGATATATATCTTTTTGTATATGTACAAAAAACTTGTATACGAAATCTTTTTTAAAGATCGTAAAAAATATTTCAGAAGAAACTGCATTTTGCGAGGACAAGAAATTGATTTTTGGGGAAGCGGATATTATAATTATATTATCACCAATCGTGTCCCATGTACACAGGATACACGTAACAACGTCGCGTATTCTTCTTCTTCAATTTCGAGCCGATTTACACAAACGTTGAAATCACTTTTAGCGAATCGTAGAAAGAACGATTTAAAATATTGGCACTAGATTACTTTAATCAAGCGATTGTCGAAAGGGGAAATGCGACGAAGCGACACGTTTTTAATTTCTGTGCCCTGAAATCGTGTTTAATATCGTGCGCAACGAACTAACTGATTCGTTGTTAGCTTAATACACTGTCGGTATACCTCTAAACGCGATTTCTCTACTCCACCATCGACTAGTAAGACTTGTCGAGATACATTTCATAGTACGGCAAAATGTCTACGTTACATACGTTACCGTGTAATAAATAGAATGACGAATTTTTAAGTCATAATTTACAATACTGGTGCAAGCACGAAAGGACTCGAATTACCTCATGTCGCTGCGACAAGAAATGATAAAGACTTAAGATTACAATAGAATAGAAAACGTACAATATTTTTCGAACGGACGGATAAGGGATTTTTATGCAAGCGAGAGAAAATTTCTTAGAGAGCCTAGAAATCTATTTTATAATCCTATGCAAGATACTTTCGTGAGTGATATTCTAAAGTGTAACAGTAGTAATATAGTTTGATTCGAAAGTGCTAAAGTTCTATTTGTACCGGTGCACAAACTTTAATCGTATCCTCACTAGTTAACAAGAACAAGATAAATGGATTGAATTCTTGTTGTAAGTATCGACTGCTAAAATCTTATCTCGAAGTAAACTTCCCGAACGATCTTAGCGATGCGGCTATCGTAACATTCTTTTATTTCTCGCAAAAGTTGCTAACAGAATATTCGAAGAAACGGGAAGTTGGAGTAAAGTAGACTGTACGGTCGAAACTATTGTATTAAATGATTAAAATCAATCTGTTACGTTATTTCATAAGTACATCGTTTCTTCCTCGAAACAATGAATATGTACAATAATAGTCACTTGAAATAAAAGTTAAGTACATTGTACCTCGTCTATTAGATGAAGAAGATTCGTTGATCTTGCCAGATAAAAAAATGTATATTTACATAAACATTGTAGATCTGTCGTAGAAAAAATAATGTCGCAATATGATGAACTGTAAAATTATTCCCTAAATAAAACCTTTGAGATTTAACTGTCGATTTATCTTAAAATACGCTTGTCTTTAAAACTGTAGTTGTGCGAGAATTACGAGGATTAATTTAAAACTAATGAACCATTGGCGTAACTGGGATTTTCGTTCGAAGCGGAGCGATCTTAGCTTTACAATTTGGGGAGTCAGTGATTTGGAAATTTGGTAACGTTTCCTAACTAGTTACGCCGGTATAACAAACATTAAATTATCACAAATATTTTGAGACTTACAACCAAGTACAGGATCACTCACCAAACACGAAACATTTATATCGTTGACAAAATTCCCGTAAAAACTTAGTACTACGTTTAGATGAAAAGAAATGTACAATATGAGTGAAATAAATAAAAATGCGAATTCGTAGAATTCGAGGTTAGCTTTACATTTAGTTCGTTTTGATTAGATAGTTTCAGTGAATTATCCTGTATGCGTCGAGATTGCACAAAGAAACACGATCTAGCAACGTCATCTTAGTTCCTTAATTCATCAATTCGCTAGCGCGTTAGTCAAAGATAGTGCGTAGAAAATTGTGGTATGTACACATCTTTGATCGAGGTCTTCCAAATGCACAGCGGTCAACAACATTGAGCATCAGGCAAACGTTTACTATACACATAGTCGTTGATTAGGAGTATCGTCGTACTACTTGGAAGACTCCGTCGAGGATTTAATCATCTGCGTCCCATTCCACGCGAACGAAAGTAAACCTTTCCTCTCCTTTTCGTTACCTTACTTAACTTTCTTACATACAAATGTCATTCGATAAACGCCCTGAGTCTTGTCGAAGAAAAAAAAGATACGATCGAATCTTTCAGATCTTCCGCAGCAAGATATCTCTTTTAAAGCTTTAGCGATCAATAATCCCTAGGTTCTTTGTGCGTCCTGTTTGAGCTAAATCGCGTTTCCTCGTTAACCGGTTTCTTGGACGTGTCTTTCTCAGGAAACATTCCTTTTTTAGGAAGACTTCTTTCCGGACTAGGACTTGGACTAGGCGAGGAACTCGGTGATCTTGAAGAACTGCTGCTGCTCGAACTCGACCTTTCTCTTTTCTTCTGTTCTATCTTATTCTTGTGATCGTACAGAGGTCCACGGATGATCTTCAGGGTAGTTTCGAGCTCGTAAGCTCGGTCCTTTAAACTGTTGTAATGGTTCAGGTCGAGTCCCAGTTGCTTTGCTCTCTTGTGGAGGGCGATGAGGCGACGTCTGTTTAATACGTCGGGCAGCATGTATTCCTATTCAAAGTTGTACAAAGATATTATAATACATATATTATAGGATAATATAATTATAGGATAGGATAATATAATTTAATATTATAGGAATTTTATTATGTACGAAGAAGTACTTGAGCTTTGAGATCACATCGAACATTTGTTTATAGATGTCGCTCGAGTAAACATAAAAAAACGGCGCAACTTAAGAATACTAACTTGTTTAGTTAAGAGGAAATAGATGAAGCAGGCCATCGTTGTGCCATATGTAACAAAGTACGTAACCGGCTCCATAATATCCCACGAATATTCCCACCAGGTTAATCTTGCTAGGCCGCTGAACTGAACAGACATCAGGACTAGACACACCCAGATGAATATGTTTGCCTTCCTCGTAGCTGTGGTCTCCAATTCTTGCAATTGCTATGAAAAGAGCAAAGACTATTGTACTAATTTATCGATTCTGTTTGCCACATTGTGATGCAGTGTCACAGTTAACTTAGTTCAAGGTCAAATTTCGACTTCTACGTGGTTCTGGTTTCCTATTTTCGGAATCTGACATTTCAACATCCGTCAACTTAATTCAAACGAATGATGCTTTATTAATCTCCGAAAGGGGAAGACGGATCAATTGTGACCTAGACATCTATTACTGGTATTTCGACTAAAATTATACGATTGAATTAAGCAAAGTTTCAAAGCCTTGTAATAAGTAACTTGAAACTGTAAAACAGCATCTGTAATATTAAAGCTTCACCTGTTCCAGAGGTTCCAGTTCCAACCTGACCGCCTCTAATTCGGCTAATACTTGCTTCTCCATGTCAGCATAATGTTCTCGCACATGAAACGCCTCGTACAACTGGCAGACTAACGTTTGGACGTCCGACAGCTTTTGCATATTATCCTAAAAGACATGCATTACATCAGACTATATATTCAATTACAGTTTTGCAAAAATAGAGAAAGCAATTTACCATGGTGTACGTCTGATGCAAAGGTGGTTGAACAAGATATTCGTTGTTGTTAATGATCAGTCGAAAGTCGTCTTCTAGTAACGACTCGATCGTGTTATTGGAGCCTATCCTGACACCATCTGAAATTATTACGTAAAAACAATATAAGTCTTTGCAGTGGTTCGACCAAATTTAGATTATTGGGTAGAGGATTTTAACTAAAGTTAGATTCCTGTGTAGAAGGTTTAATCAAGTTTGAAGTGTGGAAGATTTAACCAAATTTAGGGCGTGGAAGATTTAACCAAATGTAGAGTGTGGAAGATTTAACCAAATGTAGAGTGTGGAAGATTTAACCAAATTTAGAGTGTGGAAGATTTAACCAAATTTAGAGTGTGGAAGATTTAATCAAATGTAGAGTGTGGAAGATTTAACCAAATTTAGAGTGTGGAAGATTTAATCAAATTTAGAGTGTGGAAGATTTAACCAAATTTAGAGTGTGGAAGATTTAACCAAATTTAGAGTGTGGAAGATTTAATCAAATGTAGAGTGTAGATTTTGCCAAATAGAAATGTTTGTGCAGGTGTTACCACAATTAGGTTAACGAACTCACCGATGGACGTAACGATAGCACGATCGATTCCGCGATCTTCCCTTTTCAATAACCGGAGGAAGTCGCCCACAGTGTGGGTTATCGGTTTCAGCGTGAAAACGCATTGGTCCTGTCTGGATGGCAAAGGTACCGTGATCCTGGGTAATCCTCGATGGTAGGTCACGGTTACATCTGCAACTGAGGTGGTTTCCAAGTTTAATGTCTCGAATAACCATGGGTCGTAGGTGATCCGCAAGGGATACTCTGTAGGTAATTGGAATATAACACCGGGTAAATTGATCTATCGAGATAATGATAATTCTATGCTCTGAATTAATGAAATGGAGCATTACTCCGCAATGAAATTATTATTCGCTGAAGGTATACTGTAGAAATTAATACTAATGTAAATTGGATGTGCTAAAATGGAAAGCAAAGTTCTGGCTTCCGAAGCTTGGTTTTATTTCTGGGGCTTATGAGCCCCTTTATGAAAATGCAAACTGACCTCGTTTTTTAAAATGCACACAGGAATGTTCAAAATGCAGAGTGCTCTTCTCATAAGAAATTGTAAACAACAAATCGGTATTTGTGTTAAAGCGAAACAATTCTTAAAATAATAAACAAAATACCACTAAATTAAAAAAAAATTACCACTGAAGTAACAATTTATTCGATATAATTGCACCGGAATAATTTTCATGTAAAAACTTAAGAGATAAAAGTCCTCGAGAGGTCGCACAAAACTCGTAAGTCCACAGAGCGAATAGTTCGCGGATCCATTTCTTTTTTCTTTATCGCACAGGGAAACGCGAAGCGTTCCGAGATTTTACGGCAAGGTCAACGAAAGCAGCTCGGAGGAACAGTAAAACCTAAACGTTACGAGAGAAAAGAATTTGATGGAGCTCGAGAGACTGAAGTTGAATGGTTCGAGACAGAAAGAAAGAATTATGAAACTACGAAGATGCAAGGAATGAAGAGAAACGTTCGATTAATTCGATACGGTCGTTTCGATAACGAAAAACGAGTTCATTACTCGGTCGGACGACCCTTCCTCTTTGACAGACGTTGAAAAGTGGGACTCGTATTCATAAAATCGTTTTCGCGCGTAAACGACGCATAACGTAGTACTACGTGTGCCAGTTCGTAAAAACCAACTGTTCGAATATAAACGTGGTATGAAAATTTTGGAGGAAGATATTTTCGAATAAAGTGCGAAAGAATTGCATGGAAGGGCGAGCGGAAATACCAATGATATTTGCTTTTTAGCGAAGGAGAGCAGGGTGAGTACCGGTCGTTTCCGTGAATTTGTTCGCGTGATGGTCACACGATCGAGCGGTAGATCGCGTTAACCTGGTTAGCAGCCGTTGATATGAGGAAGGTATTAGAGTGTGGAGACCGGAATGGGACGGCTATGTACGTGGATCTTTCCGTTGTAAGCAGAACGGAACCGAGCACCGTGATCCGGCTGCAACGATCTTTGGAAATGCATCTACGAGAACACATGGCGCGACATGGGACCATCAGGTAAACTATCGATGACTCAACGCTCTGGAATTTCAATTTCATGTTTAAACTCAATTATTTTTATGCGATATCGTGTTCGGTATTCTTAATTCAGTTTAGTACTTTTACGATCGAGATTGGAGAATATGGATGCTGAATTTTGAGCACTGCTATTATGATGTACGGTATCGCAGTACTTTCATCAGTTTAGAATTTTAGTATTTTACTCTTGGACTCTTTTATCGGTTTAGAATTTTACTTGTTCACTCTTGAACTCTTTCGTCGGTTTAGAATTTTACTAGTTCACTCTTGAACTCTTTTATCGATTTAGAATTTTAGTAGTTCACTCTTGAACTCTTTCATCGGTTTAGAATTTTACTAGTTCACTCTTGGATTCTTTCATCGATTTAGAATTTTAGTAGTTCACTCTTGAACTCTTTTATCGATTTAGAATTTTACTAGTTCACTCTTGAACTCTTTCATCGGTTCAGAATTTTACTATTTCGCTCTTGAACTCTTTCGTCAGTTTAGAATTTTCCTATTTCATTCTTGAATTCTTTCATGGGTTTAGAATTTTACTATTTCATTCTTGAACTTTTTCATCAGTTTCAAAGAATTTTACTATTTCATTCTTGAACTCCTTCATCAGTTTAGAATTTTACTATTTCATTCTTGAACTCCTTCATCAGTTTAGAATTTTACTATTTCATTCTTGAACTCCTTCATCAGTTTAGAATTTTACTATTTCATTCTTGAACTCCTTCATCAGTTTAGAATTTTACTATTTCATTCTTGAACTCCTTCATCAGTTTAGAATTTTACTATTTCATTCTTGAACTCCTTCATCAGTTTAGAATTTTACTATTTCATTCTTGAACTCCTTCATCAGTTTAGAATTTTACTATTTCATTCTTGAACTCCTTCATCAGTTTAGAATTTTACTATTTCATTCTTGAACTCCTTCATCAGTTTAGAATTTTACTATTTCATTCTTGAACTCCTTCATCAGTTTAGAATTTTACTATTTCATTCTTGAACTCCTTCATCAGTTTAGAATTTTACTATTTCATTCTTGAACTCCTTCATCAGTTTAGAATTTTACTATTTCATTCTTGAACTCCTTCATCAGTTTAGAATTTTACTATTTCATTCTTGAACTCCTTCATCAGTTTAGAATTTTACTATTTCATTCTTGAACTCCTTCATCAGTTTAGAATTTTACTATTTCATTCTTGAACTCCTTCATCAGTTTAGAATTTTACTATTTCATTCTTGAACTCCTTCATCAGTTTAGAATTTTACTATTTCATTCTTGAACTCCTTCATCAGTTTAGAATTTTACTATTTCATTCTTGAACTCCTTCATCAGTTTAGAATTTTACTATTTCATTCTTGAACTCCTTCATCAGTTTAGAATTTTACTATTTCATTCTTGAACTCCTTCATCAGTTTAGAATTTTACTATTTCATTCTTGAACTTTTTCATCTGTTTCAAATTTTATTAGTTCACTCTTGAACTCTTTCATCAGTCTAGAATTTTACTATTTCATTCTTGAACTTTTTCATCTGTTTCAAATTTTATTAGTTCACTCTTGAACTCTTTCATCAGTCTAGAATTTTACTATTTCATTCTTGAACTTTTTCATCTGTTTCAAATTTTATTAGTTCACTCTTGAACTCTTTCATCAGTCTAGAATTTTACTATTTCATTCTTGAACTTTTTCATCTGTTTCAAATTTTATTAGTTCACTCTTGAACTCTTTCATCAGTCTAGAATTTTACTATTTCATTCTTGAATTCTTTCATCAGTCTAGAATTTTACTATTTCATTCTTGAACTCCTTCATCAGTTCAGAATTTTACTATTTCATTCTTGAACTCCTTCATCAGTTTACAATTTTACAATTTCATTCTTGAACTCTTTCATCAGTTTCAAATTTTATTATTTCATTCTTGAATTCTTTGAACTACTGCATTGTTACTTTCTTATTTTACTATTTTACAGTATTGTTCATCAGTATATTCTTTTTGACGGTAATGTTCAAAGTTCCAGTTTCGAGCAAAAATATCCCCGTAACACAGATTTAATTTCCCATATTTCCAGAGCCGCGAGAATGCAATAACGGATTGTTCGGTAAGCGTTGAAGGAATGTCGGGCTTGTGCAAACGGTAGCTTTTGAAAAGAGTATGATAGCGTGAAACGAACACCGGAAGGAATTATGCTCGCTGGAATCGAGCAACAACCGGTCAATCGATCGACGTTTGCGTCACGCGAGTTTCGCACGATTTCGAGAGTCATCGAAGTAAAGTGTCTTCTCCCTAATTACTTTAATCGATACCTCGGTATATTACTTTGATAATCGTAAGAGATATCGGGCGTTGATAGCGCAAAGTTAAGTGCCATTTGCAAGATATCTGCTCAATTCCGTGAAGTATCGCAATTTTAGGAGTCTGGAAGAAAGTCGGCCCCGATTAACGATACTCTATTTCACCCATCAAGTGTTTTCATTAAGTTGTTACGAAAATTATGATCGGTTAGATACGCCAGGGACATGAAAGTACATGAAAAAACCGAAGTATATCGTTTAAATTATAAATTTACGATAAAAGAATTTTATTATATGGATTCAATCTTCTGAAACTTCTGCATATTATTTCTACATATCAGATCGAGAGTGATTTATCTAGCTTGAAACAATTTTCGAATGATTAATAATCTGAGATTTAAGATGTTATTGCGTGTTATATTTTAGAATAATAAAATGTGGACCGAACGGTTACTTTCGAAATGCTGGAGCTATCATCATATTAGTGAAAAAACACTGGTTTCTATTGTACCTCACTGTCAGTTCCGAAAGCGAACTTAATCAGAAGCGGAAGACTTCGGTGATGGCGAAATATCTTGTTAGGAAGAAATTTGAACCAGTTGCATTTTTTAAATATTTTGTTTATAATATATTTATAATACACCTCAGTCTTGAACGTTATTTTTAATACTAAAAATCGATTAATTTATTCTAGTAAAAATTTAATTTATCAACACACTGGTATATTTATAGCATCGAGGAGAAACGACTGCAAATGATAGATATATAAATAATTATCATCCAAATGATTGCTTCAATTATTACCTTTATGCAAATTGTTAACTGAATTATTATGGAAATAACAGTGATTATCTATTTGTTATATAAATCATCAGTTAAGCTCAGTTTATGTTTGAATAACCATGTAATTTATTATTTATGTTGTTATATAAATTATTACTTTAAGCTGTTACGCAAGCGATTATTGGGGAGAGAGCAACCGATTATAATTTCGTAGAAAAATAAATAGCGAAGAGTACTATACTCTACCATGTACAAATTACGTATCACCGAAATTATCCATAAAATTATAAAATAGTTGCTCTCTTTTTCTAAATTATCAAAACAGTTGCCTAATTTATCTCGTAAATAACTCGGAGTCACGTTGGACAATTAATGGGGCCCCGGAGTCGTGGTTTCTTCGGCAACGTAGAAAGATTGGAAGTGGAGATGGTACCACCACCTTTCCGGTGTCGTCCTCCCTTCTTCCAGCTCCGTGAAAAGTTCGCGGTGGTGAAGTTTTCTCCGTTGCCAGTCTACCTCCGGATACTATTCAACTAATAAGCAGTGACGTGCGCGTGAACAATTCACCGGGTTCCTTCGTGCAAAAAAAAAAAAACTGGTACCTAAACAAGGAGACATCGATTTCCTGAACAGGGGTGCTTTTAAGTCGTGACCGATATCGTGATCGTTTAAGTGGCGTGGCCTCTTCAAGGATGCACGACTGATCGTCGAGGATCTCCCCAAGGGTACGTGAATAATACACATATCTCTTCGCGTACCGTTTAGTTGCCGGCGAAAGTGTAACCGGGGTAGATTCTGACCTTTACGCCGGGAACTCGTGGTTACGGTGACATTTGCGATAATGCAGGTAGACAATATTCAGTGACATTGCTGGTGCATTCTGTGCGACGTGTTTTGTGAAATTCGAATTATATTTGGGACGTTATGGGACTGTCGGTGCTTAAGGTCTTCAATTTCGTACTTTAGACAATTTCATACACGAATAAAGGTTTGTGATCGAAATTCTCGCTGCGGTCGATATAAAATACTTTAGACTTATATTTCATTAAAAAATAAATTTATATCTGACAAAATTTTATATTTTATTTTAACTTACATACATTTACATTAATTCAAATATTTAAATAATTCAAAATAACTGAATCTCGTTCTCTGACTACAAACATTGATCACAGAAATAAGTTTCAATATAACTACAGTACTTAATTAGCTCACCTTATCTAGCTTTAGTTTGCTAACTTTTGGTTCAGTATCTCGGGCCAGAACCGTAGGTCCAGACCCTTTCTCGACAAAATTTACGAAGGAACAATCTCGGTTCAACTTAACATAAAAGCTCCGATGTTTTCCTCCACTCTTATACTCCAGTTCGACCTACATCAGCAGCAGGAAAGCAATAGTCGTGGACGCCATCTAGGTACAAGCGCGACTACTAAATCTCCCGTCAAATATATGTGCAAATCAACTGCACCTGCGGCCGGCGAGCATTAATCATTTATTTTTTTAGGATTTTCCATTCGGTGCATATTATTCTTTCATTTATCTCGAGCTCATAACTTTTTCCATTTTTAAACAGGATCGAAGTGTACTCTGTGCGGCGCAGATTGTTTAACAATATATTATAACAGCTCGTTAAAACAATTAAAAGTAAAACGTGATCGCAGGGAATCGAGCCTGAAACTGAATATCCAACAAACTAGATCGCAAATAAATGATCAAATTTGTATATGCAAATGTATTACAACTGATGCATTTCATGCAGAGAATATTTGGATGTATGTAACCGATACCGTAATTGTATATCCATTATTGATGTTTCGTTTAATTGCATATCCATCAATTTCAGGCCTCGTCGTTCAGGGGTCAACCATGGGTGGAGTACAAAGTGGATCCCATACCCTTGGAGAGGCATTATGGGTGCATGAGAGACAACGACAAAAATGCCATCGGTAAGTAATTTTGCAAATAAATTCGGAGATGTAGGAATTTAAGATTATAGGGGTCTAGAGACCTAGAGATCTCGAGGTATAGGAATGTGGGACAATCTTGGGGTATAGGAATCTGGGGTATAGTTCTTGGCATATAGGAATTTGTGGTATAGGGATCTTAGGATATAAAGATCTGAAGATATAGACCCATGAATTTCCAATATAAGTTTCAAAATTTATAGACATTTGTACCAAATTACTACAAAATAGAATAGAAAATATTACAAATAAGAACTTCAATATACCAGTTTTCACTATACTAGTCGTGTTAACCCCTTGCCATGTCATTTATTTATGAGGTGCGTCAGTCAAGACTAACCATTCAGGACTATAACATTAAAACGAACAAAGAAAATTAAAATGTTCTAAGTATTTTATATTCAGGGATCCTTGACAACGCAAATTATAGTTGGAGCTAAAATTCAAGCGAAGAGTATTCAAAATTTGAGTAACATTAATCACATTTGAGTTGTGAGTGCGTCACGAGTGAGACTCGTCAAAGCACGGGAAGGGGTTAAATTACCATAAGTAATGGCGGTAAGAAGGATGGGAGTAAAGGCAAAAAAGGAGAGGGGAATAGAAATTAACTGTGCCGTAAGTTAATTACGTTGCAGAATGATAGAGAGGAGGTATACGTCGTGGCCCAGATTTTTAATGAACTCGAAAAATTGCCTAGAACTTTACGGTGCATAGATATCAGAGCAGAAACGATACTATAGCGATGTCCGTAAGATGATATTATTTTAATCTATTCCCGAGTATATTTCATTATTCAGGATGAGATATCGCGCGATGCTTAAGCAGCAAGAATGTTACGGGAAATTATGCGGGGCTTAATCGCGGGTCTTGCAATTTTCAAAGTAAATGGGCTTTTGGAAATTCTTGTAGTAAAAACTGTACGGTGTTTTGGTTCGATACACCGTTCGGTACCGTTCGAACGAAGTACTTGGGGCTTTATGGTTAGTAGACGTTTAATCGTTAATTAGTGGGATTTCGACACGGTCAGGCTGCGCTTATTAACGCGGTCGTGGTCTAATTACTCGAACCTCGTCGAGACCTTGCGTTCGTTTCTCGTTTTAAAAGATCCCGCCGCTTTTGTTTCGCGGTTTCTTTTTCGTATTGGCGCCCTTTACTCGACGACAGTTTTCCGGCGCATGCGCGTCGATCATCGAACCGCGCATGCGTCGTCGGCGTCGATAGCGTGCGAAATTTAAACATCGATAGAAATTGTACTCGTCTGATCGATCGCGATACACGATTACGCGAAAGTATTAATCGTAAACAGTTTTCTTTTGAATTATTTATCTGTTTACTGCAGATCCGATCGGAGCTCTTTTCGTGCAGTGACTACACAATAATGAGTTGCCAACTTTCGAGTGGCAGCACGCATGGGTTTAAAAGGAAATTGTCATTTGAATTTGTTTGCTCTCTCTTTTTTAAGAACCTGGTATATGATATAAAAAGAAAATGTTACTGTCCGATGTATCGTGCGATTACGTCGCAATGATTTTTCAGAGCATGCGCGTTACGGATGAAATTGAGCGCTGTTACCGCGTTCAGCGCCGCGCGAAATTTGAAAATAGGTCAGAGAAAATTTTTACTAGAAAGTTTAATATTTTCAGGCACGGCACCACAACTGGAAATCGTATAAATATACATTAAAGCGCAATTTCTACAGTCCTAATTAAGCGTTTATGCATTTCATTTTCGTCGGACCTTTTTGTTTCAAGATTCGACTCAAGAATTAGATAATCCTTATTCGATGAGAAGAAAAGAAACGCACTGTACCGTACCAGAAAAATTCATTCATCTTGTTTACGCGATGCGCAACGGGATTTTTACTTCTATTTATTGATTTACGAGAAAATATTTCACTTTATATTTTGTTATTTGACTGCATGCCATGATGCATCACACGCACGGCAGAGTTCCGCTAATTAAACGCCTGTAGAAACTCGGGAATTTCTATCTCCATATTCACGAAACCGCTAACGAGTTTGCCAGTTTTGCGCAGGAATCTTGCTTTTATTCTCGTGGGTACACTTTGAAAATTGATATAAGGTAAACCCTCGGCCAATCAAATGCACCGAATTCGATATGCATACGCATACACCGAAACCACTCGATTTTGCAAATATATTTGCTTCAAGCATTAATTACCGCGATCATGTGCAACGAAACGCACATTACACACAGTAATCTGCATCATAATTATAACTTCGTCCTCAAACAATAATTTCCACAAAATAATAAACACAGAAATCAGAACGAGCTAAACAAGGAAATGCTTTACAAGGAAAGCTAGTTACTCCAAAGAGTCCTTTATGAAATATCATTCTTTGAGGCGTTTTGCGAAATAACAGTGTTAATCGCACAGTATCATCCATGCGGAAAATACAATTGCACTCCGCGACCGCACACGAGTACAATAAAACTTCAATATCGTTTGAAAACACCCGCCTTTGTTTCCAACGGTTTCAAAGCAACAGTTCTCGTCTCGTACGATTTTTGCTCGTTCAGCTACAACGGCCACGGAATCCGCGCAAACGATAGGAAAATCGAGGTTGGCGAAAATCAACGAGCACGCGACGTGTCCTTAATTAGCGCGGTCGATTCGCGACTCGATCGCAATCGAAAGGACGAGACACGCCGGGGGTAGGAGGTCTACATAGCGGAACGCCGGATATCCGCTTTGACGAGCTCTTTCTGTTTCACCGGCATGCACACACACCTGCGTGTTGTACAGGACAAAGGGCCGTGACAGCAAGCGTGCATCGAAATTCGCCCACCCGTATGGAAAGTCATTTCTGTTCAGAAAACGCGCGCGAAACGTAACGCGGCCACGGAGATGCTTGTGCGCGATGTTCGCCGTGAAAATCGTTTACTGTCAGGTCACGATGGAGTTCGTCGACAATCACAGGTATTGTTCAAGTCTTCCTTAATTTCAGACGGAATTTCAGGTGCTTTGTGTTAGGGCCTAGGTCGAAAATTTTGGGGTTCAGGGAGTTTGAGAGTCAAATGTGGAAATGCAAGATTTTGGAGTTTGGGGAATTTGGAATTTTTGAGGGCTGCGTAACAGTTCAACCGCAGACAAAATAACCGCGACAAAATAACCGAACGACAAAATAATCGTTCAATATTATAACACCACATATTAATTATATTCAACCAACATATTTATTACCTAACCTAACCTAACCTAACCTAACCAATACGGTTATTTTGTCATTCGGTTCTTTTGTCGTCGGTTATTTTGTCGCGGTTATTTAAGCGTGCTACCATTTTTGAGAGTCGGAAATCTCAGGTTCTTGGAATAGAGAAACTTGGAGTTTGGAGAATTTGGAATTTTTGAGAGTTGGAAATCTCAGGTTCTTGGAATAGGGAAGCTTGGAGTTTGGGGAATTTGGAATTTTTGGGAGTTTGGAATCTCAAGTTTTTGGAATAGGGAAACTTGGAGTTTGGAGAATTTGGAATTTTTGAGAGTTGGAAATCTCAGGTTCTTGGAATAGGGAAGCTTGGAGTTTGGGGAATTTGGAATTTTTGGGAGTTTGGAATCTCAAGTTTTTGGAATAGGGAAACTTGGAGTTTGGGGAATTTGGAATTTTTGAGAGTTGG